GTAGTGCCAGCTTTATTGTGTGGGTAAGCAGTGGAAAAGCATACTGCGAGGTGCTGCCATTTTCTAGAAAGTAGTTGCCAGCACTACTGCAGGTGACGTTAATAAATTTTAGAGAGCCATGCCAGATACAGTATGTTCATTTGCAAATTGTTCTTCGTCAGACTTTGTTTAATCATAGTTTTGAAGATGAGTTAACCATGATGGGCTTACATTTAGTCCAGCCAATTGATTTGTCTGCTAGTTAGTTATGCGAAATGCTGTCTTCCTCTTTTCCCTTGCTTTTACGCTGTTAACACAGTGAAATGAAGAAAATCTTCAGATTCTTATAAACTGAAGCCATCTGGCAGTTCATAGTTGTTATGCTGTCCAATTGGGTAGACTACTCAAAATGTACTCCCTATGCTTATGAGTAAGAGATTGTATTATATAGTGGGTTCCTCTGTTTGAGAAGTTAGGATTAAGAGTTTTTAAGTGGTGATTTACTTAGTGTCTGAAATTTTGTTTTGGTCTGGGGAAAATAAAAAATGATGAAGTGAGAGAGTATGTGTGTATAAAGAGTAATGAATGTCTGGTATAGGAGAGAATTTATAGGCAATTTCTGGATTGGATTGCATTGGATTTGGGACCCTAATTATTATCTAATTTCTGTCTTCTAATTTTGGTCCAAACACAGATCTACTGTGTGTGGTGTTTGTACGTATGAATTGTTATTGTACACATACCTCATGCACTGAAAAGAGAAGATTCTTGAAGACAGCATATCTAGTCAAATACCTATTATGGTACCGTGAGCTAAAGATGGACTTACTTGGAATCAAACTGACGAAGAAAGAACCACAAAAATTTCAATAGAAATACTTTCCACAAATTCCCAGGTAATTCATCAACTGGGCTGGAACACCATAGGTCTGTGTTGCCTGAGCAAATGACTGAATGGTGGCTGTATTTGGTTGAAAATATAGACAAGCAGTTGAAAAGAGTTTGAGTCTGGAGCTCTTCACTGTTTTAGCTTGAAGTTTAGGCATACCTGAAATCTTCTTCACCCACAAATGACAAAGATGAATGATGAGTTTTTTACTCTCCCATTTCCATCTACCACAGTGGCATGAAATAACATTGCACACTAGTTTTCACAGCTTGGTGCAAATATTTTTCTAGATTGGATTCTGGGAATGAAACTGTTTCCTAACATTTATCATTTATCATCTCTAATGTTGCATTGAAAGAAGCCTTTACTTCAAACCTGTAGAGGTACAAGTGACATTACAGAGACTAACTGTAAGCGTAATAGACTTCTTCTAAAGCTCTCTCCAACCAAGCAGAAGGTAGTTCACCTACATTTGATGGAGTTATTATGTGACAGATTGAGTAAGCGTGTGTGAATACAAATGGAATATGTGGTTATTTTTAGTGGCAAAAAAGTCACGCTTAGAAAAAGATAACTCTGTGGCTTATGTAAAAGTATGGGTGGTTCCTCTTCCTGGTCTTGTTTTTAAAAGTGTAAAGTATAAAAATACAGAGTTATGTAAATATTTAAGATATACTATAACATTCAGAATATTTCAGTATGCTTGATTGAAGTGCTGGGTTTGATTTATAAACATCCAATAGTCATAATGTTGTTGCATAAGGAAATAGGATAAGGAAGACTTCTGTTTGAAACGCTACCTGAAGTGTCGTTTCTCTTGTGTTGTATCGGGACTGTGGCTGGGGCAGTATTTTCTTAGCTGTGTCACTGCCAAATCTGAAGTTGTCACGTGACATGCAAGCTATCTTATCCTAAATGGGGATTTAGTTGATTTGGCAAATACATATTGCTGTATTTAGGCTGTCTTATACAAACGCTTGTGGTTTCTCTGTGTATTTAAAGCAAATACTTACATATACTTACATTGTTTTGCAGCAGTTACATTCTTTTGGCATGTGCTTACATTTCTACATGGATGTTTTGTGCAAATGTAAGTCATTAGCCTGTGTGCAATTTTGGAGGAGAGAGCCACATAACATATTTGAAAGCAATGTGAAAAATACAGTAATCATACCTCCTTTTTAGCTTTAAATGTATTTTTAATTAGCCCACTTGTATGTAGAATTAGAATAGAATATAATTATAATATTATTTAAAATAATATAATGGTTTAGAGTGAATTTCAATCATTGCTCCAGACACACGTGTTGAGAGACACAGTGTTGGTGTTTTTGCTGTTTTCTGACTCTGTCTTACTTTGAGACACAGATATCAGTGGGATCACTGAAACTCCTTTGAGCAGATGCTGTAGAAACATAACAGTGTTTAAAAAAACAACAGCTCTGCAAAAACTTTCACATAGAAATACACTGGTTGCATTTATGTAATTGCCTTTGGCATCCACTGAAGTAAGTTTAAGTAAAAGTTCATCCATAAAATTATCTGCGTTTCTCAGTCTTCTTGAACCTTGATCTGTTTTGGTATAATGTTCTGCAGTTGATAAAGATGCTTTGTGATTGGAGTCTAATCCCAAGTGGGATTACACCACCTTCTGATTCAGAATTTCCTGCTGTTGCAATGCATGTTGTTTTACAGAAATGAGAAGCAACTCCCTGTCAGACACTCATATTGAGGTTGTTGCCAAGGAACAGCGTTAGTGCCATCTTCTTTCCCAGCTGAAGTCAAGGCATTGTTTCTTTTGCAAACTTGTTTCTCAATGAGTTTGTGTACTTGATTTAAATAGTTCAGTTTGAAGTTGCATTTCCCAGTAGAGTAAGCAGTTATCTTTCTTAAAACCAATTTTTGCTCAAAATAAATAAACCATATTGCAACGACATTCAAGTTGGGAGTAGACATTTATCCTTTATACGGCAGTTGTTCTCACTCAAAGTCTTTTCCATACCTTCCCCCCCCCACACACCTTTTTTTTTAAATTTATTTATGGTGTTCTTTGAGAGCTGTCCTCCATGCATACATAGCAGAAGGGCTGCCCATGCATAACAAGATCTCAAAGCATGGTTTATCCCAGTGCAAATGCATGCATGTGGGTATATGTGTGCTCAATCCTAACAAGAAAATGAGTGATGCAGTGATCACATCTGTTTTGCTTTCATTTCAGAAAGATTTCTTCCTCATGGCTTTTCTTAGATTATCTGGTTTCTGGCTACATTGCTGTTGTAGCAGAGACCAGCTACAGAGCGAGAACTTCTGTGGAGAAGCGTCCCTGAGAGCAGTGCTGTTTACCAGCTTTCACAAAGAGCCTGGGAGGACCACAATGCTACATTGCAGGAATACATCCTGAGTAAATCTGAGGCTTCTGCAGAGGATCCTGCAGTCAAAATTCATCTTTGAAGGAGAGGAGGTTCTGGAATAAAGGCTGCAGCCTGTCTGTCTACTACCGCTCTGGGTTGCAAAGCAAACACATGTTCAGGCTTTATAAGCATAAAAAAGAGCTGAAACATCTGAGAAGGAAAGAGTAAGCTGCTCTTCAGATTTTGATTGCAAGATTTTCTAGTTTCTAAAACATAACTTTTTTTTTTTAACGTTATATATGTTTATAAACATATGATGCCTTTTCTGAATGCAGTGGATTTTGGTGCACTCTGATTGGACCCATATAAATGCAGTAAATGTGACTAGTAATTTATCACAGCTTTTGCTAAACGCAGAGGGGCTTTTTTAGCTGTGTTATCTGAGTTTCTGTCTGGTTGGATGAAAAAATGCATTGATTTGATGAACGTGTAATGCTTTTGTCTTGTAGTGCAATATTTGCTGTGCATTATTCTTAGTAACCAGTGAATGCTTCTTGAGATTTTCCTCTTGTGAGGAGGAGAGTAGTTAGTTCCTTGCAAGGTTAGCTGCACACCGGCACCATAGGCTGTCACCTTCCAGGAAGGATAATAGCTCATTTTCTGAGCTAAAGTGTTTGTCCTGTGATGAACGAAAGCTGAGGTGAAATACCAGGAGATCCTTACCCCATTACTCTTTAGGAGTAGAAGGTGGCAGGAGGGGTAAGTGTTGTTCACCATCTTCAAGATACCCAAACTCTGAGATCTGATTGACATTAGCAGACCAAGGAGTTGAAAGCATCCCTTCACATGTGGCCAGTTCTGGGTAGGACACAGCTGGCTGCTTCAGGGTCTCCTTCAGTTTTTCCTCTGTGCTCGTTTTTGTCCCACAGCATCATTTTACCTCATTTCATGTGCCGTCTGCTCAGATCAAGCAGGTCTCCCTCCTTGACCTCCCCACTGCAATCACAATCCATCACCCTGGAATTCCAGGCCCCGCTAGGGAGCTGTCTCATTTCCGGTATTGATGCGATGCTGTTTATCAATGTTTCAGAGAGCTCAGGTCTAAAAGGGAGTGTTTCTGGAGAAATGTGTAATGCTATCATCTACTGTAGCCACAAAGCTCTCTTTGCAGAAAAACCATCTGGGACTTGCTGCCATGTAGTTTTTAATTTAAAATAACCTTATGACTAACAGAACTATAAAATACCTTGTCATTGTTGCAGCGCGTAAGGGACTCAGTAATAAATTAGAAGTCCCCTGTGGTAGGAGCCATAGATAATAGCAATAAAACAACAACCTCTGTCTGGAAATACTTCAGTCCAAGTTCATATTTCTTACTTATGCAGCCAAAAATTGGGTTAATCGAATTTCATACCTAAGGGCTTAAGCAGTTCACAACTGGAATATGAAAGAATTTTTCCCCATTCTGGAATGTGGTAGCCTTGTATCTCTGGGAAGCATGCACTTAATGTTCAAGACAAAACCTTTCATTTAAACTTTCCTTCCTGTGTATCTATTTGATTTAGCAGTGGTTTGTGAAGCATGAGATGCATTTGGCCATCCCAGATTTATGCCCAGTGAAAGAGGACAATAGTTTTGTTTTATATGAAATGTTTTTCTCCTCCTGTTTTGAACTAAGAAGTCAACTTTATGACAAAATCATTAAAAAGCTTAAATGCTGAACTGACTTTTCTCATTTGCCATTTTCATATGGATATATCTTTTCATAATTGCTTTTCCAGATTGTGTTGGTCAGTGGACATCTGGACAGCTGGGATGTTGGGCAGGGAGCTATGGATGACGGCGGCGGAGCATTTATATCATGGGAAGCATTATCACTCATTAAGGATCTGGGTAAATATTTAATTTAAAATATTATTAATACATGACATAGCCAGAATGTTTTCTATGTTGTATAAACTGGATTTTCTATTTTATCCATTTCTCTGAGCACAAATTCATACTTAGTCTAAATATTTTGCAAGTTTGTCTGTTAAATCTATTTCATCATAGGGGTCATCAAAAAGCTGCACACAAGTCAGGGATCTAGAAAGTGCTTTAGCCTTCATATCAGAGAGTGAAAGCCCAGTGTAAGATACATTAATCTTCCCTATTAAAGAAGATGAAGCTTCATGAAGTCACATGAAAATCAGCTTTCTGATATTTTTCTTCGCCATCAGCGTTGATGTTGAGCACGTTCTTAAATCTTTCACTGCTTTTCCAGTGTCTCAGTTAATTTAATTTCCACACTCATACCTCTGTCTTCATAGATTCTCAAGACAATATAATCTATGTCTCTCTCAAGAACATGCAACAATGGCTGGATCCAGGCCATGATTCTACTTCTGGTCTTTTTCTTTCCACCTGCATGTAAAGACAGTCATCAAAACTGATCTTGAACTTCACAGAGATTTATATTTCAGGGTTCCTTTTCCTTGATTGTTCTTCCTAAATAAATTTGTATCCTGCTTAGTCTTGTTACACCAAATACCTTTAAATACAAGTGTAATATCAAGATGGTGGGCTCTAAGATTTGCACTTCAGGGCTGCTTTCCTGATCATTTGTGCTGCTTTTATGTTGCCGTGCACTTGGGCTTTGTTTTGGGCTGTGACAACTTTCTTCCTTAGCAGAAAGTGAAACCATATCAGAGGAACATGCACTTGAGTTTCATCAGTGCAAGGATATGGTTCTGTCAAATTGTGCTTCACATAGTGTCCTGTCATATGAGTCCACAGCGGGCTCATATATCTCATCATGTAATGTAACATAGAGATCCTGCACACCATATTCTCGTGCTGCAGTAGGTTTGTGTTATGCAGAGCAATGTTCTCCTTCCAGGGATCAGGGATTCTTTGAACTTGTCTTGATCATGAGCAGGGTGACAAGTTGACCAAGTTGTGGAATTCAGTCTGTAGATGCTGGACACTTCTGAAGCTGAAATTCCAGCACAAATACTGTCAACCAGGGACTTGCTGGTGTCCCTCCTCCAAAATTTCTGTTCAACAGAAATGTGAGGTGAAGTAAATAGCTATGCTGTCAGTCTCTTCCAGTAGTGCTACGGGTAAAATACCAGCATGGAATTGCTCAGCCTACTGTCTCCTGGTTTGCATATCCTCCTTTGTACGATCTGAAGGACTGAGTTCTTTTAGTCATGAGTTTCTTCTGACCTGTGGGTAGAAGCAGGCTGCAGACAGAATGTTGTTGTAGAAGGGCATGACCTATGTGTGCCTGTGTGGGGTGTGTTTTACAGGAGATAGTCTGCAAGGTAAAATGAGTAAGGGTGAGTGTATGAGCAAGAAATAGTTGTGCTGGTTGCACTGAGACAACTATATGTAATTCCTCACAGGCTGGAGGATGAGTGTGGCACAGACACTGTAAAAGAGCTCTGAGGGCAGATCTGGGACTTCAGCTCATGGTTACCATCTCCCAGACTGGGATCTACAGTCAGGTACTGATACCTGAAATGATCTGGACATTAACCTAATTGGCAGGAGTGAAACATCCGGATTCATCTGTCTGTGTTCTCCTTACACATAGCCTCTCAAAGTTTAGTCTGGTATCCTGCTGTTCTTAGTCTGTTGTAGGATTTCTGATCTCCAAAGTACAAATTCCAATCTTTTGCTTGATCTGTAGATTTTTGCTTTTTTTTTAACTTCCATATGGGCTTTTGTCCCTACGCCCTGCTAAACTAGTTCAAAGCAGACTTCTTAGATTGTTGAGTTGATATCCAGGGATGCTTTTCTCCCTTTTCATCAGACAAAATCGCTTTTTCCTCGTAGTTCCTTTTTTTCCAGAACTGTAACCTGTGGTCAGTAGGAATGTTCTAAGTGTTCATTAAAAAACAAAGTCGGCTGCTGTTCCTGCTCTTGGTTCTGGCAAAGTTTACATAAGAACCTAGCCTTTCCTGCTTCTAATCAGAAGAATTCATGCACTTAAACAATCTCAGTGTTTCTTGAAGAGCTCTTTGTAGACAAGCTCTGTTATGTGATTAGCCACTCTCACGCCATAATAATGAACATAAGACATCCCTGGGAATCGCTATTTATTTTGCATTATTTGAACTCCTTATCTCTCCTTTTTCACAGCCTCAGAATGACTGGAACATCAGTCTGTGATTAAAAACAAAATGCATGTGTTTGAATTTTTTTCCTTTTAAAAGTGAACTAAAAGGGATTCTTCTACAGGAAAATCTAGACCTACTCTTTCATTTAGTGTTTTGTAATTTTTTTTTTTAAGCTTCTTGGAAAATTGTCTATGGTTCCTCCCCCTCCAGGGGGAAAATAAATAAATAAATATTGTTCTTGTATTTTCTGATGCTATTCTATTCAGAACAAACTGTTTTGTGTCCCTTAAGGGCAACTTCATGGTGGCGTTGTATAATTCTTATTCTCTGTGCTTCCTCTCAGGCATGAATGAAATGCATCACTCGCTGCTTGTTCAAATATTTGATTTACTCTAGTAGTAGCCTGTGTTTTTGCTGTACAGCTTGTGGGGAAATGCTGTTTTCTCAGCAGAGAAATGTCTGAGCCTGTGCTGATGCCCTCTGTTCTGGTTAGCTGTTGCATTGAGCTCTTCCTGTTAGAGCAGCGTTCTGCAGGAGTATACGAGAAAACATCTGGGTCATCCAATCTAACCTGTAGGCTGTAACGTGGGATAGAACCTTTCATCTTCCATAGGAGATGTTGTTCAGTACAGATTTTACATCTCATAATGCACGTAAAATCTGACCAAGAAAAAGGACAGCGAACTGACAGATATGCAGGCTGTTTGAGAAATGCATTAGTGAGTTTTATCTAAAACCAACTGCGTAAATTGCCTTTTTTGTGTGCATTAGTTTCCAGCATTATACCTTGAACTGTGGAGGTTTGGTTTCATATCCTTTTGGACTCTGATAAATTTCATTTCAGTCATATCAAATACATTTGGCATGGGAATAAACCAACAAAACTGTCTCGTCAGTATGTGCATTGAGGTTTTTTTACTGTTTACTGGAAGTCTTAAAGGCACAGTGCACTGGGTAGCCGTGAAAGCAATGTCTGCATGTTGCATAACAGATCTTACAGGTATGTGATCTGAAAGCTGAAGTGAACTTGTATTATGTGCAGTGGGGATTACTGCTGCTGTGTCTGCTATAGTCCATTTCTTTCCAGAGAAGTGAGATACTGATACACTATTAAAGCAAGTTTTTTAGTGGTGATCTAAAGCATTTCATCATAATATCAAGGTTACCCTTGGAATGGCCAGTAGTTACAAGTGAGGCTTGTTAATTAGGACTTTGTTAATTCTATGCATCACTTGAAGAATGACTGTAATTTAAATGCTATTCTGTACTTTCAAGCTAACCCCTCCCCAGTAGCTTTTGGCGTAGGACCATAAAAATTAGATTAATTGAAAAATCATTAAAACTGCAGTATAAATGGTTACATTTTAAGTAGTGCCATTTTCATGCTCTGGTTAAAAGTATCTAATTCTTTTATTTCTAAATATATCATCTGCTTAACGTGTTAGGCTTTATGTTTTCTGACTCTTCGTTCTTGGCTTTTGTGTTTGTTTTTTTATTTCAGCTGCAGTTTCTCTGCTATATTCATATCTGTTTTTTAGTTCCTGCTGTTTCTGTAGATTCCCAGGCACTGTAACAGTCAGCTCCAAGTTTGCTGTAAGAACATATAACAATAACATAGTCTCAAGCAAATTCACACAGAGACCTCAACACTGACTTTTTTGAGGGGAAAAAATGGAACTTATTCTTTCTGGTAGGATTTTTTTTTTCCATTTCACTTTTTAACTTCATATGGACTCTGTTTCATTTGGGACAAAGGGAGGCAGCCTGGAGGCAGAGGACAAAGCATCTGGAGGTGAATTCTGTGTCTTTCATACCCTGGTGATGAGAATGAGCACCACTGGTAGTTGCTTCTATCTCTTCTCCTTCTCCAGAGAAAAATCATAGACAGCAAATTCATAGTAAATGCCTTCTTTTGGATGGATTACAATTCACTGAGGTGAATCTTTCTCCATGTGGCCATTCCATAATTGCTTGGTACAGAAACTGAACCCCACATTTTCTGTTCTGTGTGTTTACAGCTTTACTCTGGGGGGAGGAAAAAAAAAAAAAAAAAAGCTTTTCACAGTGTATTGATAAATGTCCTCTCTGCTCTGTACATTTGTTGGTATGGCCCTTTCCACTGTCTGCCTGTCTGAACTCACAAACTTCCACCAAAAAGTGGCCATTCTGTCCAATGTTATCTGGTCTTTTCTCTCAGTTAATGCGCAAGTTTAACAAAGCACAAAGGAAAGAAAAATGTTACTTTTTTCATAGAATCATAGCATCACAAGGCTGGAAAGGGCCTAGAAGATCATCTGGTTCAACCATCCTTCCATCACCATTGCTGTACATGCACTAAACCATATCTCACAGCTCCTTATCCAGGCGCCTCTTGAACACTGCCAGGGATGGCGACTCCACCACCTCCCTATGCAGCCATTCCAGTGCCTGACCACTCTTTGAGAAAAGAAGTTTTTCCTTATGCCTAATCTGAATCTCCCCTGGTGCAACTTGTGGCCATTTCCTCGGGTCCTGTTTGTTGCCTGGGAGAAGAGGCCAAACCCCTCCTCATCACAACCTCCCTTCAGGAAGTTGTAGAGTGCAGTGAGGTCTCCCCTGAGCCTCCTCTTCTCCAGACCAGCACATCTGAAGCTTGTATGTGCCACTGATCAGCAAGATCCCTGGCAGGCTACTTTGTGGTTTATTTGTCTGAAAATCCAAGAACTGGAGGCATTTCCACAAAAGTTGTTAATGTGAAGAAGGATGAAAGTATCAGCCAGTTGATACTCTTTTTTTCATAGAAAAGGGAAC